AGAGAAGAGAAGAGAAGAGAAGTAGATCTGTCTTGGAGAGGGTGAAACCAAGTTTCTCCTTGGAGGCTAGGATTTTGAAGCCCCATCTCACATACTTTGGACACATGGCCAGGAGGGGCTGACTGATGCTTAGAAAAGGACATCATGCTTGGAAGGGTGGAGCGACAGTGCAGGAGAGGAAGACTCCAGATGAGATGGATTGATACAGTAATTGCGGCAATTGGGGGGAGGTGTGTCGGAGTCAATGAGACTGGCTTAGGACAGAGCAGGCTTCAAAGTTGCTGTACATAGGGTTACTAATGAACCACAGGCGACTTTATGGCACATAACATTGTTTGACTGAAAGTTGAGCCTCAGGAGTGAGTTTAGTTCCAGGCTCCCAGGATAATGGATTAAGGGCCATAATCTCAGGGATCCCACCAGTCTCTAAAAGAGCACTTAGCCTTTTCATCATTTTTAAAATGTGATTTTTAAATTCCTACTTACTTTTCTATACTTCTTACTATATGATAAACTCAAAGTAGAGATGAGTGGTATCTGTCTTATTCATTGCTGTATCCCATAGCCCAGCACAAGATCTGGCTAAACCATGGCTGGTAATCTAGAAAATCTAAAGAACATGTGAGGCTTCAGACAAGGGTAGGTAATTTTCACAGAGCCCACTTGGTGTGAAGTGAAACTTCAAACAATAAGAGTGGGGCTATGGTCTTGAAGAGGGGCTTGGTCCACCTGCTTTGATACTATAATTGGTGCAGAAATTTCCTTAAGAATAAAAATTTTCTTAGTGTTGCATAGTATTCCACAGTGTGGGTATACCACAATTTTTCAATTTATTTATGTGTTAATGCGAATTAGGGCTGTTTCCAATTTTGTGTTATTGTCAATAAATCTGTTATGAACATAGGTGTACAAATGTCCATTTGTGCCTCAGTTCTGATTTCCTTGGGATATATTCTTAGCAGTGGGATAGCTAGGTCACATGAGATTTCTATGTTCAGCTTATTGAGGAAAAATTAAAGGAACAATAACTTCATAAAATACTATGTAGCTTGGGAAAAAACTAGAAGCATTATGCTGAGTGAAATATCCCAGTCACATAAGGGCACATATTACATAAGTCCACTATAATGAAAATAGGATAACTGAGCAAGATATGTATAAAAGTTCAAAAGGGGAAGGAGAGAGGTAGAGTAAAAAAAGAAGAGAAAAAAATCACTAGGATAACAGAGGTGGTGGCTTTATGAAGGGGTGAAGTAATAGGAAACATTCAATGGAGACTTGAAAAGATGGAGTGATAACAGGCATAGAGGTAATTATATAAAATATATATAAAATTATAGAAAATATAATGTATATGAATCATTGTATAAATCACAAAGTGCATATAAATACATGATGTATATGAATGATTATACACAAATTTAAAAAACCAATAACAATGAAAATTCTCATGCAGCAAATGGGTCTCCCTAAGATCTGATCTCTGCAACAACTTCAAATAAATAAATCACTTCTGGAACACTTGTATTTCATTGTTTGGTCTTTTGGTTAAATATGCCAAAGTAACTTATTAGAGAGTTCTTGAGAGAAACAGCTGAATAATGTTGCCATAAAGGCCTGGAGTCAATTCAGATCTTTGATAAGTTTTTCAGTAACTTTCAGTTTACTTAACTTTCTCCTCCTCGCCCCCACTCGTATGTTGTTGTTGTTGTTAGGCATCTTTGAGTCAACTATGATTCATATCAACCTGTGAACACTGCATCTGAACACTGTCTATCCTGCGCCGTCCTCACCATCTCTGCCATACTCCAGCCCATTGTTACAGTCACTGTGTCAGTCCATCCTGTTGGGGTCTCCTTCTCTCCCTCTGACTCTCCACCTTTCTAAGCATGAAGTCATTTTTCAGGGACTGACCCCTCCTAACAACATGCCCAAAGTATGTGAAACAAAACTTCACTATCCTTGCTTCTGAGGAACACCCTGATTACACCTTTTCCAAGAAACATTTGATGGGTTTGTCTTATAGAAAAAATTCTGAAATATCTATTTTCTTTTAAAGGTACTAAGAATCATAGTCCTATAGTCATAACAATAAGGCTTTAACTTGCTTTTTTTTATATTTGTAGAGAGATTGGCTTGGTTTTCATTTTTAGAAGTTTTTTGCAAAGTCATCTCAGCTGAACTCAGGGATATAGGCACAGAACTCAGGATCACTTTGTAGTTAGATGAGACTCAGGTGAGTCTTAGGTTTCTGCTACCAGCAGTTTGTTTTATTTTGATAACTTCTGTGCTTCTGAATCAATTTTTCATTTAAGCAGCCAAGAAGACATAAAATTTTCTGTGTATATCATGCAAAGTTTCTTTTACTTTGATGATCTGGCTTGTGACAGCCAGGAGATGTAATGATGTTAGTTTGAAGTCTAAGAAGCACCTGATTCGGGCCATGGTCTTTTTAATCACTTGCTATACTGCTTAAAGTTGGACAATAAGTAAGATTGACAGGAGAATTGACGCCTTTGAACTATTGTTTTGGAGAAGAGTGCTTAATATCCCATGGACTGCCAAAACAATAAACAGATGTGTCTTGGAAAAGTTGCTGCCAGAGTGTTCTTTGGAGGCAAAAATGATAAAATTCTGTCTTGCATACTTTGGACATGTTGCTAGGAGGAACATTGGAGAGGAACATAATTCTTGGAAATGTGGAAGGATGGCAAAAGAGAGAAAGACCCTCAACTAACTGGGTTGACAGTGACTGCAGCAAGGGCTCAAGCGTGTCAGAGTATGTGAGGATGGCACAGGACAGGAGAAGGTTCAGATCTGTTGTTGATAGGGGCACTATCAGTCATGCTTGACTCGAGGGCACCTAACAATGTCAACTAGAGCAGGATAACAAGTCTAAGCTAACAGGATCCAGTTAAGGGCAAGCATCCTTTAGCACAAAGTGAGGCTCCACAAGTCCTCAAACACCAAGACTTGGTTGATAGGCAACCCCCTCAGGATTCACCCAGAGCTTTCCTATCCAATTTTATTGGAGCGCAACCCAAGGATTAAATTTTATCTGACCTCACAGTATTCTTATAAAAGCTATGGAAAATAAGGATCCTCTTTTTAAATATCTGCCCTTAAATTGAGTGTCCCTATGAGTCATAGTTGATACAATGGCACCTAACAACATCAACAATTATGATTTGCAGTCCAAAGTCCTGGCTTCCTTTTGAACCAATCAATAGTACTCACAATCATGGAGAGCTCTTTCTGCCCCCTTCCAAGGATTGTCTATATCATCAGATTATCTTCTGGTGCTTCTTATCAAGACACCAGGTTAAAAGGTGCTGGCTCTTTAACTGAAAAGTAAGGGAGGTGCTGGGACTCTTAAAGTCAGGAAAAGGGTGTGAAGCCAGGCTGCCATGGCTAAACAAAGAAGGAAAGGCAACAGCAATCAGGCGGTGGGTGTCTGCAACAAGGCACTCTGAAATTCTCACACTACACAGCTGGTGACTGGTGGTACCTATGTGAGACGTGCTTCTCCAACTTTTAGTCCTGTCCTTCACTTCTGCTCTTTGCAGGACCTTTCCTTGCAGCTAGGCTGGTGAGGTTAGAGGTTTATGGCAGTTTGAGAACCCAGGGTTTCACCCCTTGAGAAGGGTGAGAAAAGGGGTGTCTGAGTATCTTTCCTGTCTCAGGTTCACCTCCCAGAAGCTGACAATGCCCTCTCAGTGGAGGAAACAGCTAGAAAAGATGTTCATCTGTTCACCGACATAAAACTTATCAAAGGTATTATCAAATTGCAGGGTGGGGTTTTCTGGCCTGGTTCATGGGTTTATGTGTCCAAGTGTAGAGAACTGAGAGTGACTCCATATGCTTCCACGTCACTTTTGTTCTACATCACTTTTCTGGACTTTATTTTCCTCATTTACTTACTGAAGTTATTAGTAACACTGTCATGAGGTTGTTTGAGAGTTAAAACAGGTTAAAAAAAATAAATCTGGCACGTGTAGGATTAAATTACAATGCCAGGATAATTGGCAAGATAAAGAGGTCGTAGAAGGGACTAGCAGAGAGAAAGAAGCTTTTTGAGGGTATTGTTGTTATTGCTGATTGCCTTCAAGCCTAGCACGACTCATAGCGACCCTATGAACAAAAGGCCTGAAGCCCATCTACAACTATCGACATTTATCAAAGTTCATAGTTTCTGGAGACATGTTGTTTAGGAAGTGGATGCCTCTCCTGCTTCCATAATGAGGGGATAGGGAAAGTGAAAGTGTCTAGTATCAACCACAGTTTGTTTGCTTTAATGGGAGATGGTTTGAGATATCCCAAGGAAGGATGTGGAGTGAAAGCCGACAGGAAGTGCTGTTTGAGAGTAATTCTGAAGCAGCCTTTCACTGTAACTCCTCCCTCTTTTTCCACAGGCCCATTTTTAACAAACCAAGGAACAAGCAAGCCCTGTGGCCACCTGCCTCCTGAAAAGGAGCTGGTGTCTATCTCTGAATCAGAGGAGGAGGAAGAGAATGACAAGGAAGAGGAGGACCTAGATCCAGATGAGGCTCCAGACCCAGAGGAAGGAGAGAACGATGTCAGGGTTCCAGCTGAGCTCAATGCTGTCCACAACTCTCAGGTGGACTGGGGAGAAAGGGTGTTTTTCTTCAACTGTCTTAGGCTCAGTGGTCTAAATCTCACTGTCTTCTCTACTTCTTTCCAGACAGGTTCTGGATTAACAACTTTCTTTGTCAAGTCTGAACTTGAGTAGTGATGACTTTCTTCTTTCTCTCTGTTGCCTCCTGTCACCCACTATTTCTGATATTGTCCCTGTCTTAAACCCAAACCCTAGAAGGGCTGTGCATGGCTGGCTACCTGCTGCTGAGAGTAAGACATTTTTGCTTGGCCTTGGGCCCCTCACATCTCATTAGCCCATTCCTGGCATTTGTTTCCTCGAGGTTTAGTCGACCACTGGAGAGGGTCAAGGATACTCATGTAGTAAACAAGGTGACTCAGACTCACCTTCAAACCACTACTGAGATACCAGCCTATCCCCCTTCCAGGGACAAGGGTCCTCAACCAGTTGACTTTGAGAGTGAGAGAGTTAGGCTGCCATCCTGGTTGGTGGAAATGTCTGTTGGAGACTGCCTCTCTCCTCCTCCATGGATACAGGTGTAGAAGGTATCACAGGGACCCATCCTACACTGAGTTTCCTTTCCTCAATTTCAGAGAGGAGTTGGCTCCTCTTTAACCAAGGCACCTGGTGTACCAGGGATGTCATCTGCCTGCTTGCATTTTCGGTGGCAGGTAAGTCTGTTCCGTTCCCCACTCTGTTTTCCATCCTCAGAGCTAGCAAATAGGTGCTCAGAAAATTCCCTGAGCTCACAGAGCATCCCTTACTTCCATTGTGCTCAGTTTGCTCCTAAACTCACTCAGCAGAAAACAACATTCCTGGTGACCTGGAGGTAAGACTAGCACCATCATGCAGAGGAGTTTGGTAATGAGGCAGAGGTGACATATCCCAGCAGATCTGGTACACTCCTTAGTAAATGGTACTGGGACAATTGGGCTTTCAAATGAAATGGGGGGGGGGGAGCAGCTCTGTGTTTAGAACTAATATCACCTGCTCTTCAATTAACTATCATGAAAACATGGCCAGGGTAGAGGAATTTGAATACCAGGAAATTCTGTTGAGAATGAGATGGGAACAAGAGCTCTGAGAAAGGCTTTAGAAATCAGTATTGCCCCAGTGGCTAAAGACACAGAATCTGGGAGGGAACAGAAAGGTGTTGATTCACCAGGTAGTATAAACTCATAAGCCCCATGTTTGTCAGGGATTGCACAGTTGATCGCTAAAAGGTGACAAATGCTGTGGAAAAAAGTGGTGAGAACCATAGTCTGGTGCCCTCACAGCTGACATGAAGGGAAAATGTTGAGTGAGGTTCTATAGGGGAAAAGGCAAGAGAAACTATATAGAGTCAGGAAAGGAACTGAGAAGCAAAAGTAATATCCTATTAGTGGAGAGGATCCTCCTCCAGGTCTCTGAACTCCTCTCTCACACACAGACTCCCCATTATCAATTCCTTCCCAGCCTACACTTCGCAACACCAGCTCTCCAGTGCGGCAGTTTGGACCTCAGCTGCCTTCGCCAGACCCATCTCTCTTCTACAGCCCACCAAGCTCGTTGTCTTTTCGCTTCAGGTATGGTTTCAGGGTGCCAGGGACTTCTTCGTCTTAGGCCGAATTCTCTGGAAGTCTCATGTAGTGTAGTAACTGAGGTGGGTGGGGGGCACTCCATCAGTTTCCACAGAAAAGTACGTCACAGAATTTTTGTAACAGAAGTCTTAAGAATTCAGTCTCCTCTCCTCACAGATGAGGAAATGGAGGCTCATAAAGATTAAAACATGTATTCAAGGTCAGCTAGTAATGACTTGGGATTACCAACAATTGGGTCAGAAGGATTTTCATTGTGCCAAGGAAATTTCTTTCAGTCAAATTGCTGAACAATGTATCTTGGAGGGGAATGTGAGCCCTGCAGAGTTAGAATTCTGATTCCAGGAGCTGATTCAGGTAGACATCTAGAGATAGGGTATCTCTTAAATGTCTAGCAAAACTACAAGAAGGCTTACTGAATTCAGAGCAGCTGAGAGCTTCCTTTCACCCAGCCCAAGTTTTTTGTGGTTTACTTTTTTAAGCCTTCCCAGTCATCTGACCCAGCTCCATCCTCGACATCAACGGATCTTGCAACAGCAGCCGCTGCCACATGATCAAATGAGGTAAAGCAGAGACAAAGAGCAGAGTTGAAGAGTCTTGTCTGCATGATGGCTTTTTCTTTGTGACTAGGAATCTACCTTTACCATCTTTGCACATTTAAGACTCCTGCTTTTGCCCATCCCTGCACGCTGTCCCAGCTTCTACAGAGAACTCCTCTCCCTGCGTACTGCTCTTGGGGAAGTTAATTGTGGCAGGGGTGGGAATGTCTAAAGGGAATGTTCCTCTTGATTTGAAGTGCCCCAACAAAGAAGCCTTGGTCTCGGCAGCCAGACCCCTATGCTAACTTTATGACCGGAAAAGAGAAGGAGTGGGTGATAAAAGTGCAAATGGTTCAGCTGCAGAGTGAGACTCCTCGCTTGGATGACTATTACTATCAGGTGAGCTGTAAGATGCTATTCCCAGTCTTTGAGCGTGGGGTCAAATAGGCCTGGACTCCATGGCCCCTCTGTTTCTCTCTGTAGGAGAGACAAACATGCAGGCTACTGTTGCTGTGTACCACAGTCAGAACTAACCAAGCCATAGCTGATCCCCGCAGTGGGTTTTCAGAAGTGGCAAATTATACAGCAGACAGCTCATCTTTCTCTCAGAAAGAACCTGGTGAATTTGAACTACCTTCCTTTGGGTTAGCAGTGCAACTTCTTTTCACTAAACCACAAGAACTCCTAATCATGCAGGACAGGGGCCATATTTCTACATTTTACATCCTAGTTCCATCCTTCTTTATCCTCTACACTTGAGCTAGATTGGATTGTTTCTTTTTCCCCAAACGCAGCCTAAGGTTTCATCTCCATCCTTTTGCCAAGATGTACCTCCACTGAGGCAGGAAATAGAACCTTCTCTTCCTTGTACACTTTTGGTGACTTGGATCTGTCTCTCTAACAAATATTCACCTTTTTCTTTAAGTCTAAAATGTCTTCTAAATAGTGGAACTCAATTTGTTAGATAAGTGCTGGCAAACATTTTGACCAATTTTTCCCTGCTTCCTACTCATCCTTTATTTACTGGGCAAAATTCATTTGTCAGTTTGGGGATTGTTTAACCTTTCAATTCCTGCAATCCACCCACTCTCCTCCCCACTTCCTGAAGTCCCCATTTGGAGCTTCCTGTATATTATTTTCTTTCCACCAAGCTGCAAATACTCTCTCCTTTATCTGCCAGTATCACTGAAAGCAAAACAGTTCATTTTGTCCTCTTGCCTCTTCTGGCATCCCCCTTATATGAAGGAGACTTATGCAAGTCATTGTTTGACCCGCAGTTGGCGGTCTGAAGCTTGGGAAACTTCAGACATCTATAAAGAAGACAGAGTAGGTCAACATGTCTACAGATAAGTAATACCAGCCTACTGACCAGTTAACAAATACATTCTGAGTGCTAGTTTCATGACTTAAGCTGCAGGTGGTCTTCATACTATAATTCCAATTTTGAGAAGTATTGATAAGAACACAAAATGAAAAAATTAAAAAAAAAACACAAAATGAGGAGGGTAAGGACAAGATAGTGTGTACTACATGCATATACTTGGGGTGGGAAATGACAAGAAGGCTGAAAATTCTGAAATGTGTTAGCTTCCCTTGTCCTCCACTTTGCGTTCTGGCCTATCAACAGTTCTGATGGTGTCATCATAAGTTCTTGGGCTGGGAATCCCAAGATAGATGACATATCTGGCTTATGCTGCTTAAAATACTTTAGTAGTCCAAAGTATTATAGACTGCTGGAAGGGCCTAAGATTCCAGGATCATCCTATAGGAAAAGGATTTTGTTAAGAGCATGTATTTAAGAGCCCTAACTATAAATTCAGAAGAAGAGTATGTATTTTTCTTTTCCATGGATCCTCAGGAATATTTTCAGAAACTAGAGAAGCAGCAAGAAGATGAAGAACTGCTTGGGAAAAGGAGCGGGGTTGAATCTCTCAAACTGGTAACTCCTTACATTCAGAAGGCAGAGGCTTACGAGTCAGGTAAGAACAAGGTTAATCTGCTCAGCTGGACATTGGTGTGGGCAGAGGGTGAAAAAGAGAAAGGGGATACACCTAGCCTGACTTCTTTCTTGTAGTTGTTCGAATTGAGGGTTCTCTGGGCCAGGTAGCCATATCAACATGTTTTAGCCCTCGCCGAGCTATAGATGCTGTACCCCATGGAACTCAAGAACAGGTAGGAGCATTATCTTTCTGGAACCACTTTTCTCTTGTTTGAAGGGAAGGTATGGAGTGCTTTCCTAATTTTGAGTTCAGATTTTGAGCTAAGGATAAGGCTCTAGAAGGCTAATCATTCTAGCCTTTCTAGTGCAGTTGACCCTTGTCTGGTGTCCTGGCAGCTGCTCTGGCTGACCACCCGGGGCTCTTTTCTCCTAGGATGGAGGGGCTGCAAAGAGTCAGAAGCTTTGGGTATTATATCGGATTGAGAAGGTAAGAGATCAGCTACTTTGGGATAAGTTTCTAATTTGCCTTTGAGAAGAAGATAATGTCCAAATTTGCCTTTTTCCTTTCACTACCCTCAAATTCCCAGATGTTCCTTCAGTTACTAGAGATAGAGAAGGGCCAGAAAGATGGGTCTCCACAGCGCTGGTCGTCGAAACAGCAGTGCATCCAGGTTGAGAAGCTCTTCCAAACCTTGATGCCCCAGGAGCAGAAAAACTTAGAGTGAGTATAGGAAGGCTGCAGTTTGGTGCACAGGAAGGGAAGTATATGCAAAGACCCCTTGCTTCTGCCCCTCTTCTGTGGCTTGAAGCACTCTTCCTCTCTACAGAACTCTGAAAATGCCCTCTGGTCTCACTTGTAGGGAGGCGGCAGATGGTTTCCTGCAGGTGCTGTCTGTGAGGAAGGGGAAGGCCCTGGTGGCCCGGCTACTCCCCTTCCTGCCACATGATCAGGCTGTTAGCCTTCTTCTGGCTATCACCCACCATCTGCCCTTCCTGGTTCGGAGGGATGTGGCTGATCAGGTACACTGGAATGGAGCTAATAGTTTCAAGGATGCATTTAGGAATCTTTCCTCCTCTCCACTCCCTACCCTAATGAGATACCAAAGAAGGTGTAGGACAGTGAGGAATGGTGTTCCTACCTGTGTCAGCTGCAGAACACACACACACACACAGTAATGATGAGCAAAAGAAAACAGGTGTATGGTTGCCCAGGAACAGGTGTAGTGTTGCCCTGTGGGGGTTTCAGAAGATAGTTTCCTAATAAGTGTTGGCACCCATTTCTTACATTAGGGAAGGCATCTTGAACAAGTGGGTGTAGAAGGAACCCAGTGTTAGAGACAGGAGTAGTGAGGGGCCTGGTAAAGTTACCAGGAAAACGCCAAAGGCAGGTCAACAAAAAGAGGTTGGAGGCAAGGTAGAATAAGGTGAAGCTGGAATTTGAGCAGTGCTTACTGGACTCTTTTGCAGGCCTTACACATGCTGTTCAAGCCTCTGGGCAAATGTATCAGTCACTTGACCTTCCATGAACTCCTGAAAGGACTTCAGGGACTAATACTGCTTCCATCTGCCACCTCAGAGAGGCCAGTCACTGTGGTGCTTCAGAATCAGGTAATACACCTGAAGCCTTTTCCCCAAGACGGCTTCCAGGTGAGTAAGAGCTGTGAGCACATTCTCTCAATCTCCCCACAAGTATTATCTGCAATGCTGCTCAACTTCTAGAACCAGAATCCCTCGGATAATGTTGTTATGCACAGGGGTTTTGGGTCCCATCCCCAGAGATACTTCATTCAGTAGATCCGAGGTGGGGCTTATGTATTTGCTTCCCTAATAAGCTAATGTGTACAGCAGAGGTCTTCAAACATGTTTGATTGCATACTCCTCTTAAGACAGCATAACCAGGGAAACACTGAATGTCTAGGGTGAATTCACTTTACCCTGGACTTTTATCACTTGCAGTTTGGAATATCTTTGCTCTATGCCCTGCTGAGTCATGGGGAACAGCTGATATCTCTGGATTCTTCCCTAGAGGAACACAACAGTGACCATAAAGCTTGGTAAGATCATAAAGGCCTAGGCATTTATGTTCATGAGAGAATTAACTAAAAAGTGATAGAAACAACCTAAGTCACCAATGGACAAATGGATAAAGAAATTATAGTACATCCACACACTGAAATGTTACACAACACTAAAATAATTAAAGGATTCATGAAACACTGCATAAAGATGAATCTAGATGACATTCTGCTGAGTGAAATAAGTCAGTCACAAGAGAACAAATACTGCCTAAGACTACAATTATAAAAGGCTCAAGAAAGGTTTGCACACAGAAAGAACCATTGGATGGTTATCAAGTTGAGAAGAAAAAAAATCACTAAGGAAAAGCCAATATACAAGAAAGGGATAGTCAGCACAATATGACTACAAGGAAGACATGAGTATTGAAGGATAAATAGGAATGAATTTCTGAAAGGAAGGAGGAAAAGTTATTTCATTGTGGGAACAGAAACTATTGCAGAACAAAATGTATATGAATGAGTGAATGAAAAAAAATAAGCTTGCTTTTTAAAGCTTCATTCAAACTACAAAAACAATTTAACAGAATTGGAAGAAAATAAAATCACAAAGGCCTTATAAATACTCTCTCTGTACCCTGGGGTATGTAGACCATGCCAGGTATTTCCTGAATGGTACATCTAAGTATGGGAAAGGTGACTGGGCAGAGACAGAAGAAACAGCACACCTGTAGTTGTATTTTTTTGAGTCCCCTCCCCTCTTCAGTATTTTTAATTTAAAGAAGCCCTGGTGGCACAGCCGTGCTGTGTTGCTAATCAGAAAGTCAGCAGCTTGAGCACACAAGTTGCTTCTTAGACAAGGCAGTCTACTCCCATTAAAACTTAAAGCCTCTTCAGAAACCAACAAAGTGTTGCCATGAGTCCATCAACTTAATGGCGGTGACTTAGTTTTTACTGTGCTCTAAAGGGTGGATTTACTGTGGGAAGTTGCATCACAAAGTAAGGGGCACTCTTTAGAGTCAAACAGACTTAGACTTGAATTCTGGTCTGTACCTAGCAATACCAATTCTGAGCAAGTTATTTCACTCCCTTAGCTTGTTGCCTCATCTATATATGTGGGATGATGGTATTAACCCTTGGTTCTTAAAAGTGATTTAAAAGTGTAAAGCACTTAGTGTTGCCTATTGTTGTTTGCTGTTCAGTTGGAAGCGATCCACAGCTGACCCTCCAAAGGGTTTTTAGAGGTAGTTAATCACACAGGAGGAGATTGCTGCCCCTTCTTTCTTACTCAGAGCTGCTAGCGGATTTGAACTGAACACCTTTGGGATTGCAGTGCAGCTTCTTACCACCAGGCAACCAGAGCTCCCTTAGTGTTGTCTAACACTGCTGTGGTAGTGTTGCCTAGCGTACATCAAATACGAAAATATTACCTCTTAATTAAGTGGGGGAGGGGAATAGCTTTTTGAGTTCAGATTGACTTGATAATATAAAGGTAATAAGGAGCTTTTCTCTTTAGTCTCAAATTCCTGCAACTTGTAGAAGGACAAATTATATTACTCACCTCTGACACATACCTACTCTCTTTCCAGGACAAAGATGGTGGTTTTGATTGCCTGGGAGATAGCCCAGACCCCTACAGCATCTCTGGCAGAACCCCTAGTCTTCCCTAGCAACCTTCTCCCCCTGTTCTGTCACCACGTGGACAAACAATTGGTGCAACAGCTGGAAGCCAGGATAGAGTAAGTGATGATAGAAACAAAGTTAGTGTCCTTTATCCAAGTCTAATTTGGATCTGCCACACCTTTCCTAATTTTAAACTGAACATGAAGAACAAATTGCTTTTAAAAAGTAGTTATAGGGGAGTTCTGGTGGCCTAGTGGCAAGAAGGCTGTGCTGCAATCCCGAATGTGGGTGGTTCAAATCCACCAGATATTCTGCTGGAGGAGGGGCAATCTCCTCCTGTGCCAGTCGGATATGATTTGACAATACACAACAAGGAAAAAATACAGTTCTAGAAACTCTAATACTGATTCTGAGTAGCCTAGCTCAAGTTAAGAGCCTATGATCAAGCCTTTTAATTTCTTTCCAGGCACTCTGGTTGTTTCTCATGCTAAGCTATTTAAAGGCAAGAACTAATTTGAGAAACAGAATTATTCCTTTTTCAAGAGATATTTGAGACCTAACTATTCTAGGATGTACATGTGAACAACAGGGAGGTGGTTTCATTAAAAAATAATATTTTTTTTCCATTTAACACCTGATTTCTTTGTAGACTTGCGTGGACCTACTGATCTTGTTGTCTTGGAATACACATGTGTGGAAAAAGTTTTGCAAACAGTAGCTGTGTGAGCTATGTCTACAGGGATCCTGAAGAACAATCTCAAGAGATTTCTCATATCTTCATACTGGAGGACCCTAACTCAAACATTGGTTTCCTCAAAAACTTGAGTGATATTCCTACAAAGCAGGCATGGGGGGGGGAGGGGGAAAATAATTGAATGTGTTGAAACTTGTTTGTAAAGCTATAATAAAGGTCATCTGTTTTCTTATGTGTGAATACTATAGTAATATAAAGAGACAAGGCCCTGTTACATATAACAAAACCTTGGAAATTGTTTCCTTTTTGGAAATTAAAAAGCAGTTGAGCTGAGAGGGCTGGTTAGAAATAATTCTCAAAATAAAAAAGATTCGGTTTCATTTTGACAAACGAGGTCATGCATTTATCAACAAACATTGTTATCTACCTCTGAGTCAGCACCAGCTCATAGGAGTTTTCAAAGGCAGTAGTAAATTGTTTCTGTGGAGCAGCTAGTGGATTCAAATACACATGCCTTTGGGTTGGCAGCTAAAATATCAGACAGACAAGAAAACATATAGGTCTGTCTTGAAGAGGGAGAAACCAAATGTCTCCTTGGAGGCCAGGATTTTGAAGCTCTATCTCATGTACTTTAGGCACATGGTCAGGAGAGGTCAGTCCTTGGAGAAGGACATCATGCTTGGAAGGGTGGATGGACAGTGCAGGAGAGAAAGATGGATTGATACAGTGACTGGGGCAGTGAGGTTGGTGTGTCAGAATTATTGAGGCTGGCTCAGGACAGGGCAGGCTTCAGAGCTGCTGTACATAGGGTCACTGGTTCATAGGCAAGTCAATGGCAAATAATACCAACTGTTGAAAACAAAACTGGATGAGTGACTTTGGGTTGAGTGGTCAAGGAAAACCTCTCAATGGAGATTATACTTTAACTGAAATGAAAACAAGCAAATATGGCCAAAATGTAGGGGAAAGTATTCCACATAGAGGCACTTAGTGTGTCAAAAGAAAAATGTTTGCGTTAACACAGATAAGTGGGGTGAGATGAGAGAAGTACACAGGGCCTACACCCATCAGCCTTAATTAAAAAAAAAAAATCTGGGTTTTTCGATTGTAACTGAAAGTCACTAGATTTTAAACAGAAAAACAAAGTATGATTTTTACTTTTTGAATAGTTTTGCTGAATTGTTTGGGGAGCAAGACAGAAAATTTTCTGAAGATATTCCAACAAACCAGGCAAGTAATACAGTGGTAATAGAAAACTAGAAATGTGGAATATGTTTTGAAAGTAATAGTTGACACACACACATTGCTGATGGGGCCAGGAGTGAGTGGTGGTTAAGAATCAAGAATGATTTCATATTTTTAGTAACGTGGGTTCCCCATTAAGAAGTAGAAAAGATTAAAATAAAAATGGGTTTCTTAAAAATAAACTCATAGGAATAATAAAGTCAATCATTGGAAAGGGTGGCAGGAAGGGGAGAAATAATTGCTTTGGACATTTTACATTTGAGACCTGCTAGAAATTGAGCCCACACAGGAGTCTGGAATTGAAGGAAAAGGCCATAAAGATGCAAAAGTAGGAGCTTCCAGTATATAAATCATATTTAAAGTGAAGAGGGTGGAAGGAATTACACAGAAAAAAGTCAAAAGTCATTGGGTAGCTAATTTAGAGAAGTGTTACTGAAGATGAAAGTACTTCATGACAGGAGTCGTTAACCGTTAGAACCTAGAGAGATGGCATCTTGTGACAATATAACCACTGAAACTTCAATCTTTTTGATGGGTTTGTGCAAATAGTAGCCTGAATAGAAGAGTTGGATGTGAGAAAAGAGGTGAGAAAAAAGTTGACTCAAGGTAGGATTTTGCCAAAAGGGAAAAAAACTCAGCAGTATGGTAGCGGTCCACATGGGTTAAGGAATGATTTTATTTAACGTGGACAAAACTATATTTGCTATTAAAACATTCATCTAATGGGAGAAATCAATCCAGGGTGAAAATGGTAGAAACTCCTAGAAACCACCGCCATGTACCATTGAGTTGGAAATGGTTCATGACTGACCATTCAGCAGGTTTTCAGAGGCAGTAAATAGCATGGGAAGAGACTGCTCATCACCTCACTCAAAAGCCATGATGGATTTGAACTGCATGCCTTCAGGCTGGCAGTGCAGCACCTTAGCACCAAGCTGCCAGTTACTAGAAAATGGTTTCTATCCTCCTAGAAACTAAAGCACAGATGGAAGAAGATGGCTCTTTATAGGCATGTTTGATTGTGTGATCAGTCATGGTTAACATTGAGAAGAACGAGAATCCCAGAATACTTAATTAAGCTCATTCAAAACCTATACCTAGACCAAGAGGCAGGAATCCAAACAGCAAGAGTACACTGCATAGCTTAAAATCAAGGTGTATGTGTCAGAATATCTTTTCTAGAAAAGTATATTTTCTAGATACTTACTCAATCTGTATGGTGAAAAAATCATTGGAGAAGCTGATTTTTATGAAGAATGTGGCATCAGGATTAAGACTCATCAACAACCTGTGTTGTGGAGATAATACAACCTTGCTTGCTTAAAGTGAAGACTTGAAACTTGCTGATCAAAGACTACAGCCTTCAATACCGATTACTTCTGACCATCAAGGAGAAAAAAAAAATCCTCACTACTGAGCCAATAGGCAACAGGCTAAACAGAGAAAGATTGAAATTGTCAATGATCTTACTTGTATCCACAATCAACAACCTTGGAACCAGCAATCAAAAAAATCAAAAGATGGCACCACAACAAGATAAAGGTAAATAATCCAATAGAAAAATGAGCACAGGATATGAACAGGCACTTCACCGAAGACGACATTCAGATGGCCAA